ATTTATTTGCTCTTCCTTGCTAAAATGTAATCACTTTGAAGGCACAAACCAGATCTCACAGTTACCTAAGTACCTGAACAGAGTAAATTCTTGTTAATGGTCTGATCGGCTAATTGATTTATCTTTTCTTACCAGGTTTATAAATTAGTACTATTCTGAGATTTTTCACTCTCATTTACAAAAACCTCAAATTCTAACACTCAAAAAATAAAGTTTAAGGCCCTCCCCAGCACACAGCAGTCTTGAGTTGCACTTTTAAACTCACTTCTTAATCCCCATTTCAGGGTTTCCAATTGTTCACAGTTAATTCTTCTTATCAAGGGTGTATTACACTTGCTCAGCATTGAATGATAGGGAAAGAATGGCCTTTCTTTACTGCATAACTGACTTTACTTTTGTTCACAGGTTAAAATCAGCCCCTCCATTTCACTGCAGTATTATATTGGTGGCATTTTTGTTTTAGGTGGGAAAAAAAAAGCTTTCTTCCACATGAACTTTTGTTACAAATCAGTTTATTGGGGCCAGTCAATGGGCAGGACCTATGAAAGGGTGTGGATTATCTGGTAGTCCTTTGTGTGGCAAAAGGCTTAGATACCGCTTAGTACTTTGCTCATTCTTCATGATGTAAAGAAGTGTTTTTTTGAAGGATCAACACCTGACTGAGCCCTGCCTTTTTCATGGTAATATTTTCACCTGAGTTGCTTCTTATGGTACTAAGAATTAGTTAACTAATACTTATTTAACCTTGGAACAATGTTTATCATAATCCGATTGGCAGATAGTCATTTTATTTAGGCCTTTGCTTTGTTGCTTCAAGACTAGCAAATCTCAGTAAAGAGTATACTGGGAATAAATTTTTTTTTCCAAATGAGTTAATGCTCTACTGTTTTTCTTTCCATGAAGGGGCACGTTTCAGCGCTGTGGACTTAAGACTAGTAGTCACACATTAACACATTGGATTTCCCCTCTTGGGCTGAACTCTACTTTTATTTTTAAAGCTAGCCTTCCTATTTTATGCTGCTGGCAGCTTTTCCCCCAAAATGTTCTCCAATGTTATTTATTACATTAATACGTTCAGAGCTGTTTTTTCATGATTAAGCTTCCTCATGAGCATTACCACTAATTAATATACAAAATGATCCAGCACAATTTAATTATTTGGTAATGTTTTTCGGTGTTTTCCTAAAGATGATGCTTTACAAGTCAAGGCCTGAACTTGCCTGGGTCATGACCTCTCTGCAGTGTTTGCAGTCTTGTTAAACAAGAAGAAAAGCAAAACATAAATTAGCATCTCCATTATAAGTTGCTCTCCATTTCCCAGTCTTTCAACACTCTGAAGAGCACAGTCACTGCTGATATAAAAGTTTCACTGTAAAAATGGCAATTCCTGCTTTCTGGAATGAGTAAGAAGCTGCTGCTTCAATGCTGTTCTTCCAGGACCAATGCTGACCTCTGTGAAAGAGGAGCAAATTGAGGGAGTTTGAATTATGGGCTGTGAAATGTTAAAAACCCAAGGAAAAAAGAGAAGTAACAGTTACCGTTAATAGTAATGAGAATGTCCTAGCCTGTGTAGCCTTTGACATCTAGTAGCGTTCAGGGATATGTTCCTAAGCTTACAGCTAGAATTTAGTGCTGAAAAATAATTTAAGTGTAAAAGCACCACTTTTCTGTTACATTAGAAGTTTTATGTCTTTATGTGTTCATAATTACCCCAACAGCCCAGTTTTGGTTTTGTTATTTTGTCTTTAGACTTAAGTATTTCTGCTCCTTCTGGCTTGGTATGTCCTTCCCTTCATCTTCCTAATCAACCTACTCATTCCTGAAGAGTCAGTTCACGTATTGTCTCCTCCAGAGAAAGAGGAGGTGTTTCTCTGCCGCATGTTTCTTCCATTTACCATCATATCCTGTGCATATACCTCCGGCCTTCCTTACTGTATTATAATTCTCTCTTTTGTATCTGTATATATACAGTCTACTCCATATTCATCTAGGAGCTTGGTAGGTCTGTTGACAATGTGTTTGATTTTTAGTTGGTTGATTTCTTCAATAATAATAATTACCCTTTAATCTGTGTATTTCACAGTCATACTTCTCTCCCATAGTCTTTGCACTATTATCTGGTATGCCAATCACTAATTATACCAGAAGATCCCATCTTTGTTTTTTTACTATGCCTCTGTTTATGTTGGTTCATTATCCATTATTGGCACTATAGATGGACAAAAACAATGAGTAAAATTGAGAAAGGGTGGCATGCTTTATTGGCAGTAGCAGTATAATATTTACAAAACTCAAATTGAAATTGTTTTAGCCTCTGATATTCAATTTCTTAAAATCTTTTCTTGCATTTAATTTCAACATTTTTTTTTCTCATTTATTTTAACACCCTGAGTTTCTAAAATTCATGAAAGGTTTAATGATTTTATTAAAGGCCTATCTGTAGAATGAATGTGTATCATAAGTCTAGTGACATAAATTTAAAATGTGTTCCTCTTCCATTTCCATGCCTGGCTCTATCATTTATTCACCATCTGACCTTATATAAATTACTTATATCTGTGAGATTCAATAGCTTCATCAGTAAGATAGAAATAATACTAGTACTTAATTCTTAGGATTCCAGTGAACATTAAATGAGATCTAAAGAGATACTGCAAATAGGAGAAAGTGGAAACCTCCATACTAAATGGTGACATACCCAGGACTCTTTCCCCATCTACTTCTAGTGTGCTAGAAACTACGTTTTATAGCCCTAAAGAAGGAGATTGGAAGATTCTTCTCTTGGAAAAATTTACACATCCTGACCTTTGAAGGACGCCCCCCATAATCAGCCAAGTCTTATCTGATCATCCTATAGTGATGCTCTCAAGAGTTAGCACTTCCAGTCATTAGTTTAATCCTTAAATGTGAACAGCCATCCAACAATACAAATTAGTTTAGCTCCTAAATATGAATAGTCATTACCAGACACTTGAGGAAATCTTCCAGTGAACAAACAGGAAAAAAGGAACTCAAAGGAAATGCACAAAGCAGAGAACAGAAAAAAACATTTCTGTAATACCTGTAATATTCACAGAGATCTAAAATAAGGTATTGTATCCACAATATAAAATAGAATGTAATAAAAAATCAAGAAACAATAAAGAGCTCTTAGAAATAAAAATATAGAAGGAACTTAGTATAAAGGTTAGAAAATAAAGTTGATGCTAACCTAGAAAGTACTAGAGAAAGAAAAATCAGGAGCAAAAAAAGAAAAGATTAGTAGTAGAGCAGTGTCCATCCCATGGAGTTCTAGGGTGGAGGGTAAAAAACAAAACAGTGAATGGAAGGAAATCTCAAGAAATAATCCCGAATTATTTCCTAGAACTGAATGATTGGCATGTCCATTTAGAAAGGATCCATCTAGTGCCAACAAAATGAGGAAAGAAAAACTTATCTCAAGGTACATAATTTTGAAATTGCAGAACATAGGATAAAGAGAGGATTCTTTAAAAAAAAAAAGGAATTGTCAGGAAATGAGTGGCATCAGTCTTCTAGTCAGCAACACTGAAGACAGCAGAGCCAATGCCTTCAAAAGTCTTAGGAGAATATTATTCCTAACTTTGTTCTCTATACCTAGTAAAACTATCAAATATAAATAGAGTGTACAGTACTAAGGGTGGAATAGTATTTCCAGACATTCACGGTCTTTAAATTTTTACCTTCCATACACCCTTTCTCAGGAAGCTTTTGAAGTATATGCACCAAGAAAAAGAGGGAATAAATGAATAAAAAGGAAGGCTAAGATACAGAGAATCTAACAGGTGAGGAAAGTTCTCGAACTGCTGTTGTGCAGCAGGTCTAGAGAGCAATTGAGTTCAGATTGAGCTTTGAGAACAGAGGACTGCAGAAGGGGAATATCTTTAAGGGGGGAAAAAAACTTTAAAATTCCCTAACATGTTTGGATGTACTGAAAGGATGTTCATTGTTGTACTTGAACTTGTGATAGGTATCTAGTAAACTAAGCAAAGGGGGGGATGGCAATTTTTAACTCTATTAAAAATATAATGTTGCCTAAGAAAGAATATTTAATAATATACTATCATGACTTAGTCTGTAAATCATATTTATGGAATCATAGTAGATACTGAATATAGATTTAACTAAAGACTGAAAAAAACTATACTGGAAGAATGCGAAAAGGGACATATGGGGATCTGGGTGCAGTGGGTGGGCACTAAGTACAAAATGAATATTAAATCCCCATCTTCCATAATGGGAATTCAGCAAATAATATTTAAAGCTGAAAACAAAAATGTAAAAATAGTAGTATAGCCTTGTTATTTAAAGATAAGGAAGTAACTACAAAAAGAAAAGCTGAGAAACAATGAAAATGGTTACTTTTGGAGAGAGTGAGTCAGGAAAGGTGGCAAAATCCTGGTATAGTTTTTAAACAATTTTTGTGTATTTTGGGGTTAAAAATAAAAGCAAAATTTAAAAATATTAAATCACACAATTACGTATAGCATTTAGCAACATGCCTTTCACATTAAGTGTTGCATAAAGGTAAACTATTGTTATTATTCTACTCCTAAAAAGCAACATAAAGCCATGCTAAGTGAATGATACAGATTTGCTATTCATTCATTTCCTTTTATTCCCTACTTCCCACCATACATATACCATATGAGAAATGCATTATAAACATATACTTCATTGTCTTTCTATTTGGTTTGTATATCTCCCTGATTTGCTAATCCATTATTTTACTGATGTGAATGAGAAGAAATAGCTGTTGACACTTTGTAAATCATTTCTGAAGAAAGTGTTACTCTTTCTGAATTATGTGGTTAATACTTTTCTTTAGATTTTCTTGAGGAAAATTCTGGATTTTTTTTCCTTCTCTTTTGCCTAATCATTTACATTTCTGCAATTAAATAAATGGATATCCTTTAGGCCTACTCTGGTTTCCTAATCAGCCTTATCCTATGTTTTTTAACATGTTTTCTCTCTCTGATCAGGGCCGCAAGCTTCTTATTATTGGGACCACTAGCCGCAAAGATGTCCTTCAGGAGATGGAAATGCTTAATGCTTTCAGCACTACTATCCACGTGCCCAACATTGCCACAGGAGAGCAGCTATTGGAGGCTTTGGAGGTGAAAATGAGTCAATGGGTTGCACACTGTTTATGAGAGAAGTTGGGACTGAAAATAATGCTAAGTGGTGCCACAGACATTGTACCTGGTGTTTAGTTTCTATGTTAACCTAGAGTAAGGGACCTGGGATATGTCTTAACATGTTTTCAGGAACTAGAAAAAGAAGTTATGAATATAAGTGAGAGTAAATTAATTTCCCATTCCGTGGTATAAGCAGGAATGAATTACTCTGTGCCCACCATGATTATATGGACCAGAAACTTGGAATGGGGAGGGAAGGTAAAGTAATCAATATATAGAAAATGTAGGCATTCATAGTAGTTTTCAACCCATTTACTTGCACTTAATAAGTTTTACCAATGATTAAAACCTTAGAAACTTAGAAACTTCAAAAGCTACAAGAATAAAAGGAACTGCTTTATTAAGTTCATAATATAGAAGTGTTTTCTTAAATATTTCTAAGTATAACAGCCTTTAATTTAAAAAAATAATAATCTTTCATTAAACTTTTGATGAATATCAATGTGCACAAATGATTTGATGAGATCTGTCAGAAAATACTATCCAGTGACTTGTGCAGCAGTGATGAAGGCTTCTTAAAACCATCAGGACTCATACAATTGGGGCATACTCCCAGCAAAATAGAAATTATCTATATGATAAATATCTGCAGGTTACCTGTTTGAGCAGCTTTCGTTCTGGGGTTGGGTAAGAGAATTAAATTTCATCTGCTTTGACACATACAGATTGTTCCTAGAAAGGAATGTTAAAAATTTTAACTGATATTTATTATGGATTGAAGGTATTTTTTTCTCCCAGCAAATATATCTCCAAATTATAATGGAACCCTTTAGGAAAACAGGATTTAGAATACCAGTTTTCACTTTCATAATTATACCTAATGGATTTAGGAAGGTCAGGTTGGATTTTAGAAGATGATAGAATCCTGCCAACTTGAACCAGTCAGGTGGGTCTTACCACTCTTCTTTTGAGGATATATGTGAGAATTAACTAACATTGATGCACAAAAGTGCTTTCATTATGTTTATTGTTTTTGTAGCTTTTGGGCAACTTCAAAGATAAGGAACGTACCACAATTGCACAGCAAGTCAAAGGAAGGAAGGTCTGGATAGGAATCAAGAAGTTACTAATGTTGATCGAGATGTCCCTACAGGTAAGATGCTCCCTTCGCCATGTGATTCAGACATAGATGCTTCATGACGTACCAAGAGGTGTTATATTTCCTTTGCTAGGGTTTTAATTAACTTGTTACAATTCTCTTATATTATTTCCAAACTCAAGCCTGCCTCTGATATCCAACAACAACTTATTGGTACTTTTCTTTCCCTCTTCTTAAAATTCAAAAGTAGAAGAGAAGATAAAGTTAGTTTAAGTTTTCATTTAAACTTTTAGGAGTCACTAGAACTAGCCAGGACTCCAAAGAGCAATTGTCCTGCTGCCTCCTCATTTTAGACATGGGTACCTCCATCTTGTCCCACAGTTTGTCGGCAGGCTACCCAAGGTCGAGGGGAAAAGGCACTGTTCATCAGAGGTCAGGAAGCTACTGCATATACGCCAAAGGGGCTCATTGACTGAAGGGACAGGTTAATTGAGTTGTGCAGATTAGATTTAGGCTCTGTATATTTTCCCCTGGCTGGGCTCCTAGAAATTTCATGCAAACTACTGTAGGATTGAAGCACCCAGGATCACATAGGAAACTGAGCCCCAGGCCACTACCTGGGTAAAGACATAGAAAACATTTGGGACTTTCTCATGTCTACTGGCAACTCACCTTTCTTCTTTTTGGAACTCCACCCCTCTGTGTGCCCATCTGGTCTCCTTTTCCTTATCTGACATGCTAGTTAGATAATAAATGTATTCCTGCTGAGCTCTATTGAGTTTAGGGACCTTGGCTGTCACTCATTATCAAATCCACAGCCCTTGGGAGACAGCCATACACACAGTAAGGTGCTCAGTAAACTTGAGTCAAATGAATCCATCCCAGGTCCTTGGTGGACAGACAGGCTGCATTCTAAGCATGGTTACTGCTCAGTCCTGCCCTTGGGTCTGTGTGAGCAGCAGGTGCGGAGGTGATTTAACTTCACAGTCACATCTGAAATAGGCCCTTGGACCAGTAACAAATCGGACACACAAAGTGAATACTTTTTAACCTCTACCAGTACATTTATTTTAAAATAAAACTGTGTCTTTCAGAAACCTAAAGTTTAATCTACTGAACTTTCAGCTGGACTGTTTTTAAGCTAGTTTATTTATTTTCCATTATGAACAGTAAAGTTACAGACTAATCATTTTGCTTAGGATTATTCTTGGTAAAGCTATGTATACAGATGTATTGGCTCTTTCCTTGGAAAAAGATAAATCTGTCAGATAGCTCTACTCTTCATTTTTTTTGGTTTCAGCACAAATTTTTTTCAATAATTGCATGGAAGAAACTATGTGGGTTTTTCTCTCCAGTCCCTACCCCTTCCTCTTCCTTTGATGCCTGCAGGTCAGTGATCAAGTTAATTCCTCTTATGTATGGGGGGTAGAAAATGAGAGTGGGGTGCTCAGGCCTAATCTTCAGCAACTGACACTTCATAGGCCTCTGAGTTTGAACCCCTTCATGTCAAATGGATTTCGTGCAGCTGAGTGAATTCTCTTTAGATCTGCCTTAGAGAGACTGCGCTGAAGTGAAGAGGCATGTAGTTTAGCAGAATGTAAGTCATGTTACCTCTCTGCTCACTATACATGATTCTGTTAAAACTTGCACAGTGCTGAGGATCTGCTCTGACTGGATGTCACCTGAGGGAATAAAGTCATTTATCTAGATTACTTTTTTCCTCCCTTTCTCTTGACTTTTAATTCCATAGCTACAGGCAAGTCAGTAAGTCGTTGCTCACACATATTAAATATATTTAATGGGCAAAGACCTGCAAGTACTGACTACAACTGAGCTCTAGCCTGCTTCTTTTTTTTTTTTAAGAAGTTGACAATTGATTCATATGTAATTCTATTCCCAAAGAAGGAAGATGTTTCTTTTGTTGGCTATTCACACTTTTTCTTAGTCCTTTGTAGTCTGACCTCTTAACTTTGATACATTTGAAACTTCTGTTCAGTGTTTTCCTGGGATAGAAGAGATCTTAAAAAAAGACATGGTTGGAGTGGGGGATCCAATTGCACATTTACCCACAGCTGCACTGAGCATTTGAAAGCTATTCCTGGAGGGCAGGGAGTTCCCTCTTAGGAAACAGACTCCTACCCTGGAACATTTTTTAAAAGTTAGGTGTGTTTCTTACAATAAAAATTTGTCTTAAGAAATTAAAGATGTTTTTAATGATCATTTAGATAACTTCACATCTTTGCTGAACCAATAAGAATAAAATACAGTTAAATGAATTAGCATAAATGTGAATATAAAATGTAAATGAATAGAGATAATTGATAATAACAACCTCAACCTAGCACCTGAACCAAAACTCCATCTTGTCCTAGACTCAATGTGCTTTTCTCAGTCACAGGCAACCTGGATTATCCAGAGATCATGTCAGAGAAGTCAGCCATGCTCTTCATATTTTTAGTTACAGCACAATTTTTTTCAATAATCGCAAAGAATAAACTGTGCAAGGGATGAGAGCAAAGCTAAGAAAAGCAAAATTGTCAATCATAAAGAGGTAATAAGCCATTTTTTAGTCATTTAATCAACTTCAATTGATTTCTTCGAGTTTGGTCTCACTTTTATACTTTAGATGAGTTCTATGAGTTGGATACCATTTGAACCCCCCCGAATGGCCACTGTGTAGTTTCTCACTGGTCCTCTCCAGCATCACCCAGATTCTGCCTCACACAGCACCAGCTAAGGGAGCCCTTGGCTGAAGTGCCTGTAAATACCCAGCTCGGTTGTTGGGAACCTTGTGTACAGCGATTCTCTGTGCTGGGAAATCCCATTCACTTCTCTTGAATGATGTAATCTACTTCCCTGTGTATCAGAACCCTGGCTGAGGAACAGGGAACATCAGCAGAGCACTGATGGAAGTGTGAGGCCAAGCATTTCCTTGGTGTGAAACAAGTGCACAGTTACTAGAAGGTACTATTAACCCATCTTCTTTATTTCTTCTGATGTATTTAGATGGATCCTGAATACCGTGTGAGAAAATTCTTGGCCCTCTTAAGAGAAGAAGGAGCGTAAGTACATACAACACTTAAGACTGTCAGCCACACTTACCACTCTGTTAAGTCTCAGTGCCTATTCTAAGAGTTGCTGTACAGTGCATATAAAGATGAATTCTCAACTTTTCTTGGACATCTTTGTTTCCATTTATTAGAGTTCTTTGCTGTGTTGTAGGTCTGAGAGACCAAGCAAGGAAATTGGTTGCACTGTTGGTTTGCTCTCCCTGTCCTGCTTCGCAAAACTTCCTTGTCACAATGCAGGAAAAAACTCGATGGTACATATTTATTGGAACCTGCTTCTAAATGCATGGAGCTATGACCATTTTCTTTTGTGAAATGCTCATCTAATAGCAAATGCATAATGAAAAATATAGAAAACCATTAAGATGCTTTTAGCGATTTTGAGGTGGTGTTTTGCAGACGCTTATGTTTTGGGTATTTCTTTCTCAGTAGCTCCCTTGACTTTGAAAATGGACTACTTGCAAACATACAGTGACCAAGGTGAAGATGGCCTGGGATCTTCACTCAGTTTACCCAAGATACTGGACACAGAAATGTTGCTACCTTCAACATGTGCTCACTCTGCATGATTAGTGCAATCAACTCCCTTGTGCTTATTAAGATATGCTACTTTTTGTGGAAGGCACAAATTTGCTTTAGAATGCTGTGCTTACCTTTCCGTGCAAGCTAAGGTGATTCCTTCTTCCTCGGTCTTTAGTGTGGGAGCTATACTGTAATTGTGAACACTACACATTGTGAGCTCCTTACCACCACCACCTCCCCACCCCAAAACTCAATGAATGTGATGATATTGCAAGACACTTGGCCCCTTAGAAGGAAGACTTTCTATCTGTAAAGCAGGAACAGTGACCAGATGTATGGGTTTGAAGCAAGTATTTTACAGCTTCCCTGTGCTCACACTAAAGGCATTTGGTTAAATCAGATATTTGGTTATAAGTTCTCTTAGGAAGTTTGTTGTTACCTTTGCCTGAAGAAGCAGGGCTTGAATTTCCAAGATGCTGTTCTCAATCATTTTTAGAGATGTTTCCAAGTTGCAATCAGGTGCTCTTTCTTAATAGAAAGTCAGATGACTGCTATGTTGGCTATGACATTTCCGTAATGGTACTAATGTGCTTTGTGGTAAAAGATAATGCTAAGCATTGCATTTGGTAACTGTTGTTAAAGTCTTGTGAAAAATACATGTGGAAAAAGTGTACACCCTTAAACTCCTTTCTGTTTATAAACCTCTCAGCACTAATTAGTGTCCAACCCTAAATGGGTCAATTCCTTAGTATATTAAAGGCTTATTTGTATACCCACTTTTCATTTTCCTTAGCTTAATGACTTACTTAGAATTTATCCTTCATTTTAAGTTATCTATACTATCTAACATCTGAAGAAAACACTATTCTCCTGAACAAACCAATTCTAGCCCTCTCCTTTCAGTCTTTTAACATCCATTCTAATACATTTAACACATTTTCTTTACTCTACACACTTCTTCGAAAGGGAAGGAGAGTAGGTGGTTTGTCTTATACCTGAGTTAGAAGGAGTTTAATTAGGTCATCATGTTTGTGATGAGACTTAGGGAGCATGCCACTGTCTCCCCACTGCTGCTTAAAATGCAGGGACCAGCATTCAGAGGCCATCTGAAGGTGCTTAGCACCTCCCGGGAGGCTTGTTGCCATAGTGCCACTGGGGTGTAGCTCTGGCATTTGTCCCTCTGGTGGAAGGCACATTATCTCCAGATCTTGCTATCTGTATATTTTTGGTAGACTTGTATGTCATATCTACTTTCTTTTGGGTTTTCATCCCCAGCTTATTTTGTGGCATTTTAAAAAGTGGGTTGTATTGTGAAATTCTGTGATTCCTGGTGGGCAGTATCCTGGATTCCCTTATCCGTTTTAGATCTCCTTTCTCTTCCCATGGAATCAGCATAGGTCGTGTTAACTTATGTCTCTTGTTAAATGAGGTTAATGTCTTTGTTTTGTCCAAAACTATATTGAAAAATAGAAATATTATATTGTTTTAATGCAAATGAAGGAATGAATAAAGAGTACATATACTTGAAAACATTCTGTAAACCATTATTTTGTACAAAACAGCATATATAACTGATATGAATATATGACGATGGGGGTTTAGAAAAACAGATCAATAGCACATTTTGAAAAGTTAATGCAGAGCAAGAATCTCTATACTTAGATGTAGTGAAACTTCAAAACCTAACTACAAAAGTGAAGTGTACCAAAGCCACAAGTGAGTAATAAACCAGCAAAAGGAAAACTGTCACTCAGTTAAAGGCATTCCTTCTTGTGAAAGGTGTGAACCAAGGGACTCAAATACTCTGAGATTTTTTCACATGTTTGGTTTTGGTATCCTTCATCCTTTTCGCCTTTTTCTGAGCTTTCGGATCTCTTAAGCCTAAACGCCAGTCCTTAGAGGTGGCTCAGGTTAGGATAAAAGGCAGCCCAGAGAACTGGCAGGCTCTGCGGGAAGAGGCTGCTTCAGACGTTGGTGGAGAGCAGGGCCGGGGCCCCAGGAGTTGTCCACACCCTATGAGAAGGAAGACCCTGTGGCCACCACGGTCTCTGCGTAGCCTTGAGAAGGTGGAGTCCGGAAGCTATCCCAGGGCTCTCAGAGCCAACACTGGGCAGAGTGGGAGCTCATAGGCCTGATGATAAAGCAGAGGACACGCCAACTGGCTGCCCTCTTAGAGTCTGTGGATAAACTGTTCATGGGCAATTTTTGTCAGAAGATGTAGTGAAACTTCAAAAAAGGAGGTTATTTTATCCTTTCTAAAAAATGTGTCCATCTTCACTGAAACTCTTTCTAATATAACACAGAAAAACTGTATAATGGTGGTTAAAATCTGAAATAAGTTTTGCTTTTAAGCTATTAAGTCTGTTTGTTCAGATCCTAAAAATTTTAGTGAACAGCCTCCCCATGAAGTTTCAATAGCAAGTCATGGAGCAGATTCAAGTGTGTATGGTAATCAAATCCAGGTAAACAAACTTGTTGAAGCATGGGGGCAGCTATAAACAACCATCCGAGCCCAAACACCAGACTGCATGTTCCTTGCCTGGCGACTTGATCCGTCAGCCTCTTCAGTGAAGTGCTTGGGTGAGGTGCGTAGGAGAGTTCAAAAAAGCACGTAAATTTTAGAAGTTATTGTAAAATGATCTAAAGTTTCTCATCAGCTGGCATGCAGGGCTGAGACTGGGTCCCGGCGCCAAGCCCACAGAGGGTGTGCTGTGGGGACACTGTGGCATTAAGACACAGAAGATAGCACCTTGATGGGCAAGAATCCCAAGTAGGGAAGACAGAATTCACAAGGAGGACTCATGCTTGACATTTCCCAGCATACAGTCTCCACACAGCTGCCTTTGTCACACTATTTTGGGAGTAAAAGATTAACAGTCATGTAATTATTTGCCTTCTAGAAAGTTCTCTTTTAAGCTAGGAGAAATAAGGACAGTGTGGTGGCCGTAATTTTGCTGCATTAACTTCACTCATGTGTGTGGATCAGCCACGGGCATTATTACATGTCCACATATGCAGGGCCAGCACAGATACACCACTGGGTCCCTGGACACCGTCACTGGATACATCTACCCACCGCACCATCATCCTTTCCCTTGCTTTGCTCCACCTTCTCCCAACTCTCCTTTCACTTTTATTTGTACCTCATCCCTCCGTCCTTGAACCCTCTCACACACTGTCCTTCCTTTCTTCTTCATAGAATAATACTGTTTTGAAAGGTTATCTTCTCATTATATTGTCTCTTTTTCTTTGGGATCTCTTTTAACTTCCTCTTGTTTTTAAATGTTTATTAGTATTTATGCTTATGGAGAAACTAAATGTTCAAGCACTGCTATAAACTGCATTCTCTTTAAACACAGAATATGATTAATCATAGAAAGGATTACAACTGACCTTAGTAAGTGTGAATAGGAACCGTTTAAGTATTTGGCAGCCTTGATAGGTTAAAAAAAAAAAAAGTACCCAGAATGCTGGTGTAGATGAGTGTGTTAGCTTTAAGTAAAAGTGAAATACAATGACCAAAACTGTAAGACATGGGGGAGAGCTGTATACTCTCCCTGTCCAGTTTCTTGCACAGCTGAAACAACCATTTGTGGTTTAAGCTTTTCAGGAACTAGATAAAGACACATCATGGGCAAAATAAAGTTTGTGAACTTCTAGTAGCCATTCCTAATCTAAGAGTGGAGGTCTGAATGGAGCACAGTGTAGCCCATCACCACCGCATAAGGCTGACTGCTTTATTTTTCTGTTATTTTTTTGCTATGAAGTGAGACAAGTAAGATTTGTCCCTAATAAAGGTAAATCGGGGGAAAGAAAAAGAAAACACTTCAGCTGTGCCAGATAAACCAAAGGTGACATTTTATGGGTAGGTCTGGAGACCAAAGGATTGTCTGCATCATAAAACTGAGTTGTAGCCTCTTGTTGAGCAGGCATGACTTGTGAGCTTCAGTGGAGTCCTTTTGAAGCAACAGTCCAAGGAGAGAATGCCCTTCCCCATGGCATGCCCACTGGTAGGTCCCTTCTGCCCAAACCAGTATAAAACTTCAAGTGACACCTGTTCCAGACAACTCAGAGCCCAGGGACACCATTTCGTCTTCCCAGCCAACCTACCCCTCTCAGTTTAGCTCTCAGTGGAGCTGTCAGGCGAGAGCAACTCCAGTCAAGTGTCATTTTCAATAAAGCAATATCCTCTTCTCCCAATAAATAGAGCTGAAAACATAGGGAAGGAAAGGATTAAGCCAGTGGCCAACCCCATGGTCTGCTGGCCTTGAGCTGCATCTTTGAGTGTCAGGTAGTAATTTGTGCATATAGAGTGTGAGACTCTATGAAATGAATTAACTGCCCAAACTGTTTATTTCTAAAACTGGAAATTGTTTGTTAGAATTGATTTAGAACAAAGCCTGTAAGAAGTCCTATAGTAGATCAGACCTACTTATATGACATCTCAGATAATCTGGTTTAGAGAACATAGGACATGACATCAATTTGGGCCACTAATTTAAGGGTGAAAGATGAGGCCACCACTTTCAGAATCGGGTATTCTTGACTCCTGAGCATTAATCTGGAAACTCCACACATTGTACAATGTATCCATTTGAAGTTTGTTTACCTTTTCTTTAATGACTTAACAGAAAAAAACTGCATGATGAAATATATTTTCTCCAAATATATATATATTTATATAATATATATAATCTTAGTTAACTCAAAGGTATATACATTGTATAATAAATAATATTTATAAAAAGAGACTTTTTGAATATAAAATCAAAAAGATCAACAACTTCTACAGCTTTTTACAAAACTTTGGATACAGCAGGGTGGTAGGAAATTTCCATTGGATACTATTACCTGACTACGTCGGGAATAATTACAATGCACTCAATGTACTATTATTAAATAATTACTTGTCAGCTACTTGAATACGTCCCAGAAACATGACTTTATCACTTTTAATATAGAATACATAGATATGAAAAGACTGTTTTGAAAATTTGTATCCATTCTGCTGAAAAACTGCCACACAAAGCAAGCATTATCCCGTTGACATGTTTTAAAACTTTTCAGTCTAAGCTGAGATGGGCAGGGGCATTTCAGACTCTCTGTAGAGGGAATGGGATGTGTGTCTTTAGCAAGGCTCGTTGCCAGCAGATTCGAGAGTGTAGGCATGGCCATCTTGGCAAGCCTGCCCGAGCAAGCAGGAAGGTCACTTGACCTGGTATGTTAGGTCAGTGTGAGGAGACCAAAGAGAGAAGAGGGCAGAGGAAGAAAAACCATGTTCTTTTCTATGGCCCTGCTGCCTCTCTTTCTGGGTCCCCTTTAGCTAGAGCTGGTGGCTTGATTCATACTGTCAGATCTGTTTGCTTCCATTGTGCTAGCTTCCTTTGGGACATTCTAGAGGACCAGTGTGGAGCGAGGAGACCTCAGCTGTGAGATGCTCTATCCAAGGGAGCAAGTGAGTGCTTCTCCCCCTTTGCACACCTAATCCTGACCCTTGGTAACTGCATGGATTGATGCTACCCTAGCATACAGGGGAGCCTGGAAGGTCTCTGTGAAAGAACTTGGTAGTTCTATTTACTCACACAGGCCAAAGAAAGAAAAGGATGCAGAAAGATGTATCCTTATTGGAGAGGAAATGAAAGAATCATTTTTTTCCTCCCTATCTACTAGTTGCAAAATTGGAACTTCAGGGATAGATTGCTATTCTCTCTCTCTGACCCTCTGTCTAATTTATACTAAGGTGACCTAGAGTCCAACTGCTCTACTAGAGTTGTTTTTATGGAGACTGAGGTGAGCAGGTCTGGGAGGGATTGAATGGCCCCTTCTAAAGATACCACTTCTTTCTTTAGGAAGGCATTTGAACTGGAGAAGGCTTGCTCCTGTCATCCCCACCCTGTACATAACCTATTTACAAGATCCGCCACAAAAACCATACTGCATTAATGGTGGAAACTGCAGAATGGCAGCAAAAGATGGAGATCTGACTTCAGTTCACAAGAGCCTCTTGTGCAGAACAGGGCTACGGAGAAAATGAGACTGAGAAGCTGCTCTTCAAACAGTTTGCCAAGTCCCCTAGAACTCCTAGTTCTTCGAAATTCAAAATCTTACTCTAACAATTGCCTTGGGCCTCCCTACCCCTTTATCCTAGCTAAACCTATGGCTTTTATCAGAATGTGAAAGTATCAGGTTTGAATGGGAGTAGACAGAAGAAAGGAGACTGGGGGGCTTTGTCTTCTTCCATGACTCCCACCTCACAGGCATCTTGCATGTCACCATAAGAAGCAGTCTGGAGACAGAATCTGGCCCACGCTGATGTCTTTACCACTAGGCAGAGAGCTCACATTAGACCTGCCTGTTCTGTTGGAGTAGAATTTTTTTTTCCATTTTTATTTTCTTTAACATGTGCAAAGATAAGCCTTGGGTCTATTCCTTTCAGACCCTAGAGAACTAAAAAGAAAGCCCCTTCTTTAAAAACCACACACCATCCAGAGTAGGGTGAGAAACTTAAGATGAGAAGGAGGGAGGCCTCCCAGTCAGCAGGCGGATTGGATCCAGGGGATTTACCACACGTGCACCTGGCAGCAGTCCGATTCCTTGCTGTCTGACGTGGGGGGCTGAGCCTGGCTCTAGGTCCTGCTTCCCACAGAACTTCGTTGAATCTGCCCAGCCACATGCTTCACCCGCTCCCAGTGCCCTTTGAAAAATAAAAAGGAAGAGTTAGAAAATACAGTTCCTTTCTCAAAGAGACCACCCATTGAGATGCAGAGATCAGAGGCTGCTGACAGGAGATCTCAACGTACTTGTAGGTAAGAGGGATCTTGAATAGCTTTCTGAGCCCCCTCCCATACTTTGGGGTCTGCCACTAAGTAAGGGCATGTGGTTTATAGAACAGCAGGGCGTTGGCATCCACAGCCTTGGCTCCGACCTCCCCCACCTTCTAGCGGAGGGCTTGGGTGGCAGGAAGCCCTGCAGCAGGTCACTGCCCTAATGCAGGAATCTGTCTTGCATGGAGACAGAGAACCTTGCCTGTCGGGGGCCCAGTTCATAAATAGAATAGACCCTGTGTACTGTGTTTTCTCATCACACCAAATAGTTTGATGATGAGCTGTCCAAAAAGGAGCAAGTCTACCTAATTGATTATAAGTAATTCCTTCTAAGGGGGTTACCAATATACATCTTATTTGTATATTTACATCTCTCAAAAGATTTAAGGCCCAAAGCACTTTCGGGGGCATTCCCAATCAACCCTCCCTCCACTCCTTGGGGGCCTGGGCCAGTGTAAAACTATTTTGCAGGAGCAGAGATGCAGCAAGATTAAAGGCACATGTCCAAGGCCTCACAGAAAGTCAGTGACAGATCCAGCACCTGCATCCAGCTCAGCCAGGCCACCTGCCTCTTGCCAAGGGCCCTTTTTTTACTATGCTCACAACATCTGAATAACAAGGAATAAATCTGATACTTGGAAGGTAGGAAATCAATGGTTAGCCTGAGACACTGGACAAAAGCTGCAAGTTATAGACAAAATGTTTTCCCTCCGGGGAGGTGCCAGGGCCTCCTGGCCTTCCTGTGGCATAATGCCATTTTGACTGACCAAGCAGCACACCTGGGGGAAACTTGCTCTTGGAGGTCAGCTCTACTTAGCCTAGACCGCTGCTGTGCCAGGGCTCTTGGTGTGCACGGCCTCTAGTCCACCCAGCAACTCTGCAAGGGACACGATTCTTCTCTCCAGTTCACAAATGAGGAAACCAGCGTTCAGAGAGGCAAACAGCTTGCTCAAAATCACTCAACAAGGTATTTGTCAGAAGGGCACCACATTGGGAGAGAGGCCTCCACTTGTCCCACAGCAAGGGCTCCAGAGTATCCACACAGGAGAGGCCTGGGGCCATGATCTTAGACTTGGTGTCTTGAAATCACATCTATGTAGCACTTCCCATGAGATTGGGGAAAACACCATTCTATTTCAGAAGTAGGGAGAAAAAAGAACTGATGACAAATACTAATTCTTCCATGATCGGTACTAATTACAGGTGGGGATTATCTGGACACTGAGGGCCAACCCAGCACCTCCTTACCACCTGGTAGATGGCTCATTTCGGCTGCCCACTTAGGGGAGGGGAGATACTGGTACAGAGATGCTGGGGCCTGAATCTGTGACACCCGAGAGTCCCCTGGAGCCACTGACGCAGCCTGGGCTGCTGCTGTTGTGGTCTCTGTAGGACCCCTATATGGGGCTTTCTGGAGGCAGAGACCTGGGCTCAGTGTCCCTATCTGTGCAATGGGAAGCTAGACAAATGGCCCTCTAGGCCCCGTCCACTGTTAGTGACCTAAAACTGACTTCCCCACAGACACTCAGAGGGGCCAGAGTATGTCCTGCTTGGGAGGGGGACAGTGTTGCCTGCGAGCATGCTGGACATGCCACAGTGAACCTGTACATTCTTATTGCTGACTTCTATCATTTTGAAAAGCAGTAAGTGAAATTGCCCCAGTGATGATGCCATTTCATTGCATGATACTGCCCTCGTGTCATGGCTCTTTGATGGCATTTACCATGCTTTCTATTAGTATTATATTCAGACAGGCATTCATGTCTGTTAGCTCACTTGAGCCTCATAAAACTTGTTAGGCCCCCATCACCACTCTACAGATGAGGAAACTGGGCTTCAAGGTTTGATGGCTGGTAAGTTGTGGAGCTGGAACCAACTTTGTCCTCTTTCCACTTGGCACACTGCTTTCATTCAGACACCAAGGAAGGTGGTGCTTCCTACTGCCTTCCTGCGCTCTGTCTCTGCCAGGTCATAACCTGAGCTGTACGAAGGGGCTTCCCAGATGGGTGGGGTAAGTTCCCCTCAACCAGAGCTTTCTCCATGATGTCAGGTCCCTCCACACCCCAGAAAGACCTGGTCCCCGTCCCTAGTCCCACAAAGCAAAACTGTGTGCCACCAGCTCCAAGGTGCCCTCCACTGAAATGCATCACCCAGTGGGGTGCTCTCCCCGGCAATGCAGGAAAGTCCTCCGCAATGAACCAAGTTCTGTCACCAGTGTCCTTTCTTTCCTTCCTCACAGCATCTCTGGGGAGGATAACAGAGGAGGACAGGTCTGTAAAGAGTGCTGTCTGGGTCACATGGCTGGTAGGTGTTGGAAGCTGGACCCTGTACATCCTAGGTTCCTTCTCAGGGCAAAGAAAAGGGAAAGAAGGCATACCTGCCTCAGAAGCCTTCCACATCCAAGACCACCCTATGTCAGTCCTGACCTTTCCTGGTGACCTACGGATCAGAGGGCCAGGCAGTGTCTCCCACGCAGGCCACCTCTGGGAAGCTTGGGAACATAATCCACCAGCCTTTGATCCCTTGATTACTCATCACCGTCACTCTGAACTTGAGTCCCTCCTCCTCCCCATCACCATCCATAAACTTGGAGAGAGCACCCCTGCTCCACCCAGGCTTCAGATCTGCCAGGATATGGGCTTAGATGCCGCTTCCCCCCACCCACCTCCTTGAGGTTGGTAGGGTTTATGTGTGTGCAAAAACTTGCCCTCTGAGTCCAAAGTGGATGCAAAATGACTCTGCCCCAGGGGTAGAAGAGACTTTTCTGCCTACTATTTGAAGCACCCCTCATTTTTACAGTAAGAGAACTGAGGCCCAGGGAAGTGAAAGAATAGAAAGTTATAGGCCCAGCAGGGACCAGAAATCAGGTGTCCCAGCTTCCAACCCCATGGGGCCCCACCTCTGCCTCCACAAATGCTCAATGATAGCCAGTGGCTGTGCAAAAATTTGACCTGGCTCATGATTTACTAACTTGTATAAGAATTTTAATCAATTTCTTGCAGCCTCATGTGCACACACTTGGCTGTTATCTATGCTTTTTGTAATCAACCAAGCTGCTGCCCAAGGACCATGCCCACTGAAGCTTGGGAAATCCTGGCTTCCCATTTTGGCTGTGGAAACTTGCGTGCCTTGGATGACTCAGAAGTAGAAAGAGGCTGTCAAAAGGAAGAGATAGGTAAACCCAGTGCCCTGCAGCCCAAGCCCCCGGCTCCCCACCCCGCCACCCTACCTGGCTCCCTACTTGCAGGTGTGCACGTCGTAGATGCGGATGCACTCCTGGCAGCTCACATAGCAGCACCAGTGGAAGATGCAGTGACACTTCTCCTTCCGCTTCTCCGTCCTTGTGTTGTGGCCACGGCCACAGCAGAGCAGGTCGCAGCCATCGATGCCGTGGGAGGTGACATTGCAAGTTCGGTCCCTGGTGCCGAAGGAGCCTGTCTCAGGGTTGGGCTCGCAAAAGTTGGGGGAGTTCTCATAGTAGACCAGGTCCCTCTCAGTGGGCGGTTTGAAGAGTGCGTACTTGGCGCGGAGGGTCTCCACCCAGCCGCGGGACTCGCGGTGCTTCTCTACCACCATCTCCGAGGCACTGTCATATTTGTCCTTAAGGAAGTCACCAATGGCACGGAAGTCAGGCTGTGCCCACCAGCAGGTCTTGACCTCGCAGCTGCCTGACAGCCCATGGCACTTGCACTTGAGGTGCATGTGGTCCAGGATGGTCTGGGGAAGAAAGAAGCAGTTGGCACGCAGACTGACTCCCGCTTGAGCACACCCAGGCCCTCCCACTCCGCCCACCCTCCCCATCCCCGGAACCTTCTCTATGCCTACTCTGTCCCAGGAAGAGGACTGATTGGGGACTGAGCCATGGACCTAAAGAATGGTGACCACTGTTTCCCTCCCGTTCACACTCCATGCACTGGCAGAAAGCACACCCATTTCTCAAAGCTGTAGGAAATAAGGACTGTTATCCCATTGAACAGATGGGGAAACTGAGGCTGGGAGCATAAGTGACTCGCCCTAGGTCAAACGACCATAGGAAGGGGAGGAGGCTGAACTCACAGCCAAGCCCATGGGTCTTCACAGCTCTACACAGGCAGCCCAAGTGCACAGGATGGGCTGGCCATGACTTGCTCCATGGGGCTGCCCCACTCCTGGGCTGACACATCTCCCAGCAGGCAGAGACTGGGATAAAGGAGGGTGAACAGAGGGGTGACTGTAAGGTGGGGGCCAAGCCCGGCAAAGGGAAAAGAGGAGACCAGGGAGCCCAGGATGTGCAAGTGCCATTGGAAGGGGCAGCGCAGGGGCGAGGCCAGCCTGTGAGGGGACCCAAGGCAGGGCAGGGCGAGGTTGGCCGCAGCTCACCGTGCGACCCGCTTCATTGTTGTGCTTGTTCATGGCTGAGCGTGCATCCGGCCTGTTCTCACGTGCATCCGCAAACTCCCGGGACACTAGCACCCCGAAGTCGGCGTCCTCGCTGCAGCCGCCCCACTTCCAGCCCTCGCCAGGTGGCCCCTTATGATGGGAATCACAGCCGCAGATGGTGGAGGTGCCCTCAGCACAGGAGCGTGTGACAGCAAAGGCCACACCAGCCGAGGCAATGGCGTGAACAAAGGCTGATTCACGGGTGGCTGTGGGAAAATGTGGGCAAGCATTGCTCAGGCCGGAGGCCAGACCTGGGACACGGACCCCACCTCAAACCTCCGCAGCTAAGAGGGCTCATCAGCACAAGGGACAAGGAAGGAACTGGTGTGCCCTTCCCACCCTCTTTGGCTGACCAGGCCACTCGTGGGTATCCCTGCTTTATGGCTAAGCAAACAGCCCAGGGCAGCTAACTGATGAACCCAGGAACTCAACATCTGGCACGGGGCAAAGCAGAATCTGTTAAAACACAGGGGTGGAAACAGCTCTAGCACATTGCTGAAGAGATAGTCCTGTTCTGTCCTGGCTCCAGGCCCCTCTGCCTTCCATGCGCCCAAACTCCAGAGGCCTGGGCACAAACCTGAGCCCTCCCACACCTAAGAGAGCCTGAGATCTGTGGTGGAGGCGGCCTGGGAACGCACAGTCCAAACCTACCCAAGTGCACCCGTTCGACCTAGGTGCACTCAGGCAGACTTTGCCTTTTCTGCTCCTGCTACCCTCTTAGTGATGTGGGTACAACTTCCCTCTGCCACCAGAGTTCCTGACCAGGAGGGCAGGGGCCTGCATCTGTCTCCCCCTTACCATTCTCCTGTCCTCCACCTAGATAGGGCCAAGGTTTTGCGGGAAGCCCAAGCCCCTCCTGGAAGGATCAGAACATAGGACAGTTCCTCTGGTTCTGCCGCAGGGTCCATCAAGGAAAAGGAGAGATTCTCAGGAGGGCCCCCCAACCCAACCTCATAATGATAACCACCTCTGAGTGCTCCATAGGCACCAGATTCTACCTTTCACGTGCTTTATCTAATTTAATCCTCTCAACCCTATGAGGCAGAAAATCTTACCATAGGCCCATTTAACAGACATTGACGTTTAGGGGACAAAGGTCTGAGAACTGTAGACCAGCCATCTCCTTACAGGCGAGGAACCCAGAGCGGGGAGGTGACCTGCCCAAAGTCACTCAGGTCGCAAGATGCCTCTCTGGCCTAGAAGCCAGGGCTCACGCCTCCTTTCCGGGGCGTGACTCCCGTTCTGAGTGCTGACATCAATGCTCAGCAGACGAGAAGGGCGCCTAGGCTGGTAACCCCTCGTAGCCACTGCAGGCCCTGGTGGTCCCAGCGCCATCTGCAGAGGAGGGGTGCGTCCCACTTGCACCCGCAGGCCGCCGGCGAGTGCGGAGCGGCGCGTCAGCTCAGTGCGGCCGGCGCGCTGCGGACGGGAGCCGGCCAAGGCCTGAGGCCCCTCGCCCGGGGTCTCTCCCGGCCCCGGCTCCTCTCCGCCCCGCGCCCCTCGCCCTAGTTCGAGCTGCCGCCCACCCCTCAGCGCCCGGGGACAGGGCGCGGAGGGCAAGCGCCCCGCTTCCGGACGGGCCCGCGGCCTCTCGCGGCGGCGGCGGCGCCCGGGCCTCAGGCGGCGCTCGATTCCCAGCGCCGGGGCGGCGGGGGCGGCGGGGGCGGGGCGGGGATTAGCCTGGGAGCGGCGCTGACAGCCCCGCTGCGCCGGTCTCCGTCCGGCGGGGCCCGCTGCGCCGCTCAATCCGCCTTTGTCTGCGCGGTGTCACACCGCATTACCCGCATAATGCGGCCGCCGGGCCCGGGCCGCCGGGCCGGCCGCCACCGCGTAGCAACGGGCGGCTCCCGCGGCCGGGCCGCGCCCCCGGCCCCGGCGCCGGCCCGCGAAATCCCCATTGAAGCGGCGCCCCCCGCCCCCGCGCCGCGCCGACCGGCCAGAGGGCGTGTGAATGGCGCGGCGGCCGCAGCGGGCGCGGGGCCGGGCCGCGCGGTGGGGGGCGGCGCTCGGGCCCTTTTCAAGCCGCCTAAGCCCCTCCGGGCCGCCCGGCCCCGGCCCCGCCCGGGGAGAGCGATCTCGGGCTCGCCTCTGCCCCGCCGTCGCGGCCGGTCGCCTTCCGGCTGCCGACCCCGACGCCCCCGTCCACACAAGTGCCGCGCGGGCCCCCCGGCGGTGGCAGCCCCGCCCCAGGCCGCCCCTCCCGGACCCCGGGAAGCCGGTCCCCGGCCTCCGCGGAAGACGCGCGCTCCGAGGCAGACAGACTCCCTGGCCCCCTGGGTCTCCCCCCACACAGCGGGGGTGGGGGGTTGGCCAGGGGCGAGCGCAAGCGTGGAGCCCAGGGCAGGGTTAGAACGCGGGTTCACGGTCCGGGCTCTAGGCGCGTGGGTGCGCACCCTCCTCCCGGTCGGCGGGACTCCTTGGATCTCATCAAATTCCTGGAGTCTCTCACATTACCCATTCATCCCCATCACAAAACTGCCCCCCTGCAATCTAAAGATGAAGGCTTATCTCTAGAACTTGCAACGGAGGTTTAAAACGTCAAACACAGATGTGAATGGGTCATAAACTCAAAGACCCGATTTTCTCTGGCTGATGTCCCGAGAGGGAAAGAACAATCAGAAGGTGAGTCTTGTTTTTGGGGAGCGCGTCTAGACGCCAGGCTGTTTGATTAAGCGCTACCTGGCCCGAGGTGGGGCACCGGAAGGCACTGAGACTGACACACTGGCAAGATTAGGTTTGAAATGCAAACCGCCGCCACTTGGCCCCAATTAGAGGCCAAACCTTACATGTAAACAAGGAATAATTAGCTTTGGTAAAAGAAGCATGAACAGAATCATCATCCATTGATTGGCTAATTGCCCTTCCTCTCCCATGAATAGCCCGTTGGTCGGACAAACCCTGCCCACCTGAGGAGCAGGTAAAGGGGGACTGCACTATAAAAGGGGGCGGGAAGTGGGGCAGGGGAATGTGTCAGCTTCGCCCCACCCATTCCCGCGCCGCTGACCCCACCAGGTCCAGCTAGCGCTCAGATCCCTTTTCTTTCTGGCTGTAAATGCAGCTCTTCTAAAAGAAAGAAAGGCTCACCAGTTTGGGTGGCAAAGCCTGGTGGTGGCCGGAAGCGTTCAAGCTGCTGTGAAAAAGGAGTGGTGGCTCTCAGGAGGCCAGCTGGGATCAGTAAGTTCCTGGACACGGCAATTCCTCTATGAGTCGCCCATCTTCGGCCCATAACTCACCAGCCCCAAGTCCCCTTCTTGAGAGCAGTTGTTCCCCCTCATCCCTCTTCTCCCGGTGCCTTCATGTGCAAAGTGAAGTTGTGTGAATCCCATTCATTTGAGGCACAGGCATTTAGACTCCCAGGTTGCAAGCCCCACTACAATCCATGGGCATATCCAGCTTGCAGGGCCAAAGGGACCACCAGAAACTTCTCACAAAAGCATTTAGAGACAATGCAATGCCACCAGCATGAGGCAGCTTCCTCAGCTCTAGAATTTTCTTTATGGAAGGGACCTAGGGGTGGAAATGTCCCCACCCCACCCAAAAACTAGATTTGCATAGCACTTAACACAGCATTGGGAAACATCACAAATGTCCATATCAAAGTCTGGAGCCACTGCTGGGCAAGCCAGGAAGCAGGAAGGCTGCAGCCACCTAGCCTGCCCCAGGATCTCAGGTCCCAGAGCATCTCAAGGCTGTCCTGCCTCCAGAAGAACCTGGGAAGATGTGGCAGCCATGGCAACAGCCTAGGTAGGTCCAGAGGAGCAGAGGCTGCAGGTCATGACCAGCTCTATTGCCCTCCTCCAGGTACCCTGGGCTCCGAGCTGAGGAACCCTGAGGTGGAAGATCACAGCAGCCTAATGCTCTCCCCCCACCCAGCCTCTTCCCCACATCCTGCCCGGCCCAGAGACAGTACCTTTGTCGAGGACTGGCCCGAAGATGGCCAGGCTGTCATCTATGGTGGTGCAGTTCCAGCGGCGGCCCCGGAACTGGTGCTGGCACTCCTGGATGCCCAGCTTCACACCCTCAGCCACACTGGGCATGATTTCGATGTAATTGCGGCAGAAGCGCAGTTGCTTGGGGACCAGGCCTGGGATGGAGCCGCAGAGTAGGGGCTGTGAGCCCAGGGATGTGTACTGCTGGCCCAGGGCCAGGGACCTGCGGGCAGAAAGATGGCAGGGCACTGCAGGCACAGAGCACACGGCCCAGAGGCCTCGGGTGGGTGGGGTGACAGAGGGCCCGTGAGCCCAGACCCATGGCCCCAGAAAATCCAGCCCCCGGATGTGCTGCCTTTGACATCAGGAGTACACTGCCCCTTGTAGGACAGAGCTCTGACCCAGACAGTCAGCCCTCTGTCAGGGGCACTTCCAGCCTGCAGGGGCATGGGGACCGGTAGAAATCTTCCCTGAGGGCGTTTGAGGGAAATGCAATACCATGAAATGAAGCTTGGACTGGAAAGATGGTACTAGGGGCCCAGGGCAAGTCCCTTCCAGGCTTGGGGTCAGTTATCTTGGTGGGCATTGAAAGGGTTGGGCGGGGCAGTCTTCTATGGAGTCTAGATTTCTGGAGCCACACAGGGACTTCCAATGACCCAGGGGAAGAAACTCAAATCTAAAGACAGGAAGCCAGCAGGATCTGGCTTGGCCCCAGCTGCAGAAGCCTCAGCCCCAGCAGAGAGCTTGGAGGCACCTTACAGGCCCCTCTCGGCAATGCCCCTCCACCTCTTCTCCAGATGCTGCCTGCCCAGCCCAGTGCCTCCCAGTGTTTCCCCAGGGAATCAGTGACTTGCACCAGGTCATCTGCTTTTTGTTCAGTAGGGCCTCCATGACCATCTTTGCAGCAAACTAGAAATTCCTAGAGTGCTATCCCTCCTTTTATCACAAATTAGAGCTTAGCTTTGTTTCAAGACAAGTTTAGTTTAGTGTCAAAGGGAGAAGATTATACACCCCCAACCCAAAACTACATGACCTTGGTCAAGTCACCCCACTCTTCTGCCCCTCATTTTTCAGTCAATATACTGTCAACCTCAGGTTTGACAAAAAAGCCAACAAAAGGAAAGTTCTGGTGGGCAGCCAGGGAGGAGGAACAAGAGTTTGAATACTAGAAAACCAAGTTGCTACTCTTCCACTCTCTCCTCTCTGCACAGGCCCAGCAGGAATGACATTTCATGGGAGAAACTGAGAAAACAATCCTTGGCTCTCAGTTGACTTCAAGGTCAACTGCAATTAGCCCGGGAGCACCTCGGGGGCCATATCCTCTCCCTTTGTGTTCAGCACTCACCCAAGGCTCTGGCCTGGCAGAGACCCTGGTCCAGTTCCCCACACAAAGTGACGGCAAAAGCCTTGGGAAGAGGGTCCAGAAGACTCCAGGTGCAGATCAGGAAAAAGACACGCAAAAGCTTGCTGGACTAGACATGGGGATGAAGCAAATGCGGACCATTTATCAGCTCTTACTGTGTGCTGGCACTTTACGTGGGACATTACCAATCAGTTCTTCAAAGTGGGGGTTACTATCCCCAAGATGGGGAAGCTGAGGTTCAGGGAGTAAGTTGGCTTGCTCAAGGCTTTTTGGAGCTGGTCTGTGGCAGAGCAGAGCTGTGGGTCCCAACCTTCTGAGGGGATCTCTGCTCCCTGGCTCCTCCAGGTCCTCCCCGCAGGGTCCGAGGCAGGCCTCCCCAGCAGAGCAGAACGCCCAAGCCCTGAGCACTAGCAGGCAAGGCCAGAGGTGCTCCCCAAACGTCTCCCAGCAGGGAGATGCCACAGTCCCCTCCACTTCCCTGAAGACACCAAGCCCTTGATGGCCAAGTCCTTCCTACTGGACCACTGCAATCTCTCTTCAAATCAAGTGGATTTCTTCTTGTCCTCTACAGTCACATTCACCACTAACAATCTTGACAGCCCTTTATTTAGCACTTATGTGCCAGGCATGTCACATATACTCTCTTATTTAATCCTCACCACAGCTTTCTGAGATAGGCATTGTCATCCCCATTTTCCTCGTGGGGAAACTGAGGCACAGAGAAGTTGGGTGATACAAGGAAGTGGCTGAGCCAGAATTCAGCCTCCGGGTTTGTCTGACAAGTGCGGTGCTCTCTGAGAACAACTCCCAGCCTCAGAGATGATGAGTTCTTTTCCCCCCTCCCACCAAACCCTCTCCCTCCTGCTGCTCAGGTCCAACCAGTCGTGCCCCTGGGAGCCAGGCTGCCTCGGTTCAAATCCAGCTCTGCCATTTCCTAGCTACTGACCTCAAGCAATTTACTTAACTTCTCCATGACTCAGTGTCTTCATCTGGAAAATAGACATAATGGGAGGAGTAAGTGAAATACAGCACCTAGCACATAGGAAGCCATTAATAAATGGTGGTCCTTGTGGTTACCGTGTGTTTAGGGGCTGTCCCCAGGACCTTGTCCTCACCCTGTTATCAACCTCATTCCTCCTGCCCTCCCGTGCCTGATTTGATAGAACCCATCAGAATTTTCAGAGCCCCTTCCCATTCATCACTGGGAAGGATGCTTAGGGTCAGAGCAAA